TAATAGTCCTTAGTACTCCTGCGTAGTCCCTAGTAGTGTTTAATAGCTCTTAAAAGTCCCTAATAGCCTCTAGTGGTCTCGAGTCATCCCTAGTCCCTCGTAGTCTTTAGTAATCCCTAGTAGTTCCTGGTAGAGCGTGTCAGATTCTAAAATATTTTGTAATTCAGTTCTCTTGAATTATTTTGTAATTCATTTCGGGCATCCAGTGCACTACATGATGAGCTTTTCTTTCTCCAAATCTTTCGTTTCTGATCACAAATGAAAGAAAAGATTGAACAGCAATTGGAACTAGAAAGTAAATTAAGCTCGGACTCTACTCCAATCCCATTTCGTTGGTCACACGCTCCGCTCTGATTCCGTCTTAGCTTCAGAAATGTTGTAAATCGTTAACTTCAGCTCCAATAATCAGTATCAATTGGTCCGCTCGATCCAGCAGACGCTTTGGGGTTGAAGCTGGTCATCTCTGAACGCGATGTTAAAGGATTTGTTTTACATTTATTGCTCGCATGTGAATCTTATCTGTAATAAAAAAAAGTGCTTCTTTTTTGTTACTTACTGTTAAGTGAAGGCGTGTCGTAATTGAAGGTGTGTCTCTTGAATTATGATTGCTTCATCTGTGTATCACAACCTTATATAGGACACAAAAACGCCCAAAAAAGAGGATCACCTGTTCTTGTGAAACAGGGATCGTCATGGGATGGGACGAACTTTCCGTACCACGGGACGATGCGACTCATCCCATCCCATCCCATGGGATTCATTGAAAAACAATATTCATCCCATCCCATCCCATGGGAATCATGACCAGTCCCATTCCATCCCATGGGATCCCATGGGATAGTCACACTGTAACAAAACTCTACCAAAAATTAAATTTAGTTCTGCAATATGTTTTATTAAATTAAATAATCATTTACATGTATGACACATTCTTTATGATAATCTATTTTTTATAAATATAAAATAAAAGTTACTTCAATACTCTTCTCTGTACAATAGTACTTTCTCAAAATAGAAAAAAAAATAAGAAAATACAAAACAACAATACTATTATCAACAGGTCATACGGTTAGGCTGAGAAGCAGGGAAATATCTCCCCACTTAATTTTTTGTTCTTCTATAGTTCTTCCCCTAAAATTCTTTATTGACTACTTTTTGGTATTCTTTATAGCACTAATTTAAAGGATTCATGCAAAAGAGGAAACTTCCTTTAAAAGAGAAAGAGAGATTTTGAAGAATTGACTAAAATCAATTGTTTTTGGTGTAGAAAAAGGCTTTCACAATAGTTTTCAAGGAGAATTAGCCGTTTTCTCGCAAAGAGGAAAGTTCTTATGACCTATAGATCATTTCTCTCTGATCTTAAGATTTTCTACCTGGTTTCGGGAGACTTTCTCTCTAGTTTCTTCCTTCTTCTCCCCCCTAATAAAACCAAACAAAAGCTCCGATTATCAGCAAAAAAGATTAGTAATCATATACATAAGTACAAAAATATAAATTAAATCCAACGACAAATAATATTGAGTAAATAGTATAACGAAAGACAATGCAATATTTTATACTATTGATCTAATAATATTTAGATTTCCTTTTCTGATTTCTAATTTTATCATTCCTTTATTTATCTGTTTGATAATGTTTAGAGTAAAAATTATTAATCAATACAGAAAAGCGACGAATATATTACTTATGTCTACCGCTTGTCAAATGCAACTTCTATTTGAAATAATATTTTTCTTAAAAAAAAGAAATCATATATCCCATGGGAGGCAAGACTCATCCCATCCCATCCCATGGGATCCCATGGGACATCCCATCCCATCCCATGGGATCCCATGGGACATCCCATCCCATGACGATCCCTGTTCTAGAAGGAATCTTTATTCATATCTATCCCATTCTTCTAAATTTATAGTGAGTTCTATTTCGTATGGAAAATGAATTCCATGCATAATAAATTTAGATTTATATGAGTACTCGTTCGTAAATTTTTCAAATATTTTTCTCTACAGACTTGATAGTTTTTGCTATTATCAATTATTTGTTGAATAAAGGATATTGTGAAATATGACCCAAAAGAAATGTCGAAGTCTTTAGGGGCGGAAATTTGCACTCGCTAATCACACCCACCCCACACCCTAGTGATTTGATCACGTGAATTATCAGAAACTTCAAGATTAATCACTCATTCTCTCAATTAGTTCATGTTTTATATCAGTTCCAGTGATAAATACTATATAGTCCTTTGCATACCTATGTATAGATCATTGAAAAGAAAATATTGTGAATAATTCACTGTTTTGATTGTAATATCCAGAGAAATATGAAACAGCTGATGGGAAGTTTATGTTTTTTATTTTATTAAGTATCTTTCGAGTATAGCTTGCAAAATTTATAGAGAATCGAAAAACACATCCGCTAGTGTAATTATCATAGTGGTCAATTTGAGACAAACATCTTTTATATATTTGATTAAGATAACGGAGGAAGCAGAGAATATAGAAAACTGAAGATGTGATAATGATATGTGAAGAGATTTTGTACGATGCATCTGACTAGACATGTAGCGAACCCGAACGTTCGGGTGCGGATTCGGTTTTAGGGTTCGGGGTGGTTTGGACCGAACTCTAACAATTTAAGCATCAAAATGGTTTTTCTGACATGTGTGGAAGCATAATAAAGGAAATTATGAAACATCAACCGAACCCGAACTAAGGTCAGGTTCGGTTACATGCGTACATCTGACTACTATTATAGGTCTGCATAGGCTTGAGGTGATATAAAATAGACATATCAAAGACTGTCGGTTTTAGGATAATGAAGAGTACTGTGCACAAGAGTAATAAATGTTGATTGTTTGATTATCTAATATTGTATTGACCAAATATATAAAAATATAACTTCTAGAATGGTTTTCTACTGGTAATATGATTAATGCACGAAATGGGCACACAGCATCTATATTATCAAATGGAAAAGTGTTAGTTACTGGTGGATTAGGCAAAGGCGGCGTTTTAAATAGTACTGAGCTATATGATCCATCAACAAGTACTTGAACAACTACTGGCAGCATGACTAGTGCACAAGAATATCATACAGCATCTGTATTATCAAATGGAAAAGTATTAGTTACTGGTGGACAGAATGCTAATAGCGCTATTTTAAGTAGTGCTGAGCTGCATGATCCATCAACAAGCACTTGGACAACTACTGGTAGCATGACTACTGCACGAGAATATCACACAGCATCTTTATTATCAAATGGAAAAGTATTAGTTGCTGGTGGATCAGGCACTATTAGTTATTTAAATAGTGCTGAGCTGTATGACCCATTAACAAATACTTGGACAACTACTGGTTATATGATTAACACACGATATTATCACACAGCATCTATATTATCAACTGGAAAAGTATTAGTTGCAGGTGGAGTAGGCAGTGGTTTCTTAAAAAATACTGAGCTGTATGATCCATTAACAAGCACTTGGACAGCTACTAGTAACATGAATAATGGACGAGAATATCACACAGCATCTGTATTATCAACTGGAAAAATATTAGTTACTGGTGGATTTGATAATAATATTGGTATTTTCAATAGTGCAGAATTATATTAATTATTTTATTCTTTTTCCTGCAAGTAGTCCAAACTCCAAACAAAACTTTAGTTAGAACAACTGTCATCTTATGATGACCACGAACTGTTTCCTTCCATGATTTTACTGAATTATCATTTCCTTTAATATTTCGTCCCAAATAAAAAAATGTATCTTTTTTCTATTCTCACAGACTAGTTTATTATGATTAACAAAACTAACAATTGATGCGATAACTGTAATTATCTTTTGAATAAAATGCTCTGTTAGTTTTATAGTGTAATTTTTCATAACATTTAATTGTTTTAATAGTATCCATTGGATTTAGAATGTGTGATTATTGTAACATTTTAGCTACAAAACGACTTTCAAGTAACGCCATGAATGGCATATCTGTAAATAACAACAACGGATAATCTAAAACAACATCTTTAGTCATATCGGATATAGGAACTAATGAGAGTGAGGATGAGGTAAACAAAATACTGACATTCAACTTACCTTATTTTCACTCGAATACGTATTTTAATGGAAGAGAACAAACAAAAAGATAATTTCTATATCTTAAATTTATCAATTCAAGTCACCTCAAAAAAATCAAACTGATTAGTGCAGAATATTTGTTGAGAAGTTCTGTTGAAATATGAAGATAAAACTGTACACAGATCTACTTTTTCTTCGTAATTTTAATTTATTTTACAAAGTATGCAACTATTCAATTTTTGATTTTAAGATTCTTTAACAGCCTTGGCTGTACAATCACACGTCTAATCTGTCTAGTATGACGCAATCTGTTGTCAATAGTACTTTTTTTTTGTTATATGTATGGCGTGATCGCCTTTAAAAATTTGCCACTGTATGATGTATGGCGTGATTCTTAAGTGAGAAATCAACATCTATATATACTGTGTTCTTTCTTTCTTTTTCTTTCTCATTCGATAGATGATTCAGTCAAAAATCGTCATCATTTATAGTATTATTATTAAGTTGTAGCCTTTTCTATTTTGATAATGACTTACTTTAATAATATTAGTACATTTGAGAGATATAAAACAAAAGTGTAGCTTATAAGTAAAAAATGAGAACGAAGAACTGATCAATTTATTTTAGTAGTAATCAGTTCACTGAAACAAAACTAATTATAGTTAAAGAACGAAAAAAGATATAAGCTATGAACGTAAGAATAAAACGACATTAAGTATGTCGAGACTATAGGAAGAAAAAAAAACTAAAAAAGGTAAAAAGTTTTTTTTCGTATGGCGTGAGTATAAGGTGATCAGTTAAAATAAACGAACTATTTATTGATAAGCAAGATATTACAATACTTTTTTTTACATTATTTTTAGACTTAGAACATAATCTAAATGCGCAGAGAAGAAAAAGAATTTGGTGGTACACCAGGTGCTATTGGTTTAATCATATTTTCTCATTTTGTACCATTTTATCTTGCACTATCACTTCAATATAGTTCAGGTGGACTTTATTATCCATCATCCTTTGATACTTTAATTCAGAATTTCAAAGAAACATGTTCACCAACATGGTCAGCATTTTTTCTCTATACAGGATTTTGTCTTCTACAGCTTATATTTGCTGCTATTTTACCTGGCCCTGAAGTTAAAGGTCTACCAGTACCAACTGAAAATAATCGACAATATACTTATAAATGTAATGCATTGGCTAGTTGGTATGCAACATTATTACTTGTTGCGATATTTCATCTAACTGGTATAATACGTTTAACAATATTAGCTGATCAATTTGGTTCAGTTCTTTGTGTTGCTGTGATATGCTCGGACATTATATCATTAATTATTCATTTTTATGCTATTCAAACAAAACAAACATGTCGTATGACACATTCACCTATTTATGATTTTTTTATGGGTGTTTGGTTAAATCCACGTATTAAAATTTTAGGACAAGATGTCGATTTAAAAATGTTAGCTGAAGTACGTTTATCATGGCTTTTATTGTTTCTTTTAATTATTCCTGCTGCATTAAAACAATATGAAGCATTTCATACAATCTCATGGCCAATGATATTTATCTTAACAGCTCAATTACTTTATATAAATGCTTGTATGAAAGGTGATGAATGTATTCCAACAACATGGGATATATTTTATGAAAAATGGGGTTGGATGTTAATCTATTGGAATTTAGCTGGTGTTCCATTCGTATATGCATTTCATGCTTATTATATTCTTGTTAATTCTTTGCGAACACATAAACCAGTTGAAGATACATCGACAATATTTATTATTATTTTATTTATTGTACTATTTCTTGCTTATTACATATGGGATTCTTCTTTATCGCAAAAGATTCGTTTTCGTATGCAAGAACAAGGAACATATATATCAAGAAATGCATTTCCACAAGTTCCATGGAATGTTATAAAGAATCCAAAATATTTAAAAACAGAATGTGGATCATCCTTATTAGTCGATGGCTATTTTAAGTATTGTCGTAAACCTCAATATACAGCTGATATATGTATGGCTATGTGTTGGGCATTATCTTGTTATCAATGGGCAGGTATTTTACCTTATTTTTATCCTAGTTTTTTTATAGGTATGATTGTTCATCGTTATACACGTGATATGGCTCGATGTGCAGCTAAATATGGTGAAGATTGGAAAATTTACTGTACTAAAGTACCATATGCATTTTTTCCTGGACTTATCTAAGTTTTTTATTGTAATTTTCTTCTTATTTTTATTCCGTAGGCATCTGAGTATTGAAATATGAAAAAAAAGAATGTTTATCGAAACTATTTTTCATTGAGCAATAAAATTGGCTGTTGAACGCTTTCCATCTGTAGTAGAATAATCCATTGTCTCGTTATTGTTATCATGATATTCATCTTTTATATATTTCCACAATAGAAGCAATGCTAATAGACGAAAAATCATTGCAATACAACTAAGAAAAATCGTAAAATTTCGTTGACTACGAATAAATGGTACACATGATTTTGCATTACTAAGTGTGATGATACCACATGTGGATGGATATTTTTTTTGAAAGCTTTCAAAATTTTTCGTCGTTTGTCCTTCATCATCAATCGAACAACATCTATATATGTATTATAATCAAATATCAATTTATAAATTTATCATTGAAACTAACTTGCTAATTTTAATCAATACAATAAGTGGTTCAGTAATTGTTTGATTTTGTTCAATATGATTAACAAGTTCCTCAGTCATTTTAGAAACAAGTGTTACTGCTTCGTAAATGTAAGTTAGAAAAAAAAATACAGTAACAAAACTCATTGCATAGAATGTTCCATATGCAAATTGTTTACTGGGTCTTTTACGAGCGAATAATAGATAAAGAATTGCAATAGTAGTAAGAAGATAGCAAAAGTAACATAGAGAGTATATTATACTCTTTCGAATGATAAGTTCATAAATAAATACAAAGAATCCGAAGAAAATTCCAAGACAATGAAGTATTCGAAGAATTAAATGAATTTGTCGATGAGAAATTTTCATTTTAAAAAAAAGTAGTTAAAAAAAAAAGAATAACTTTTTAAAATGAATATAAATTCTTAGTTACATGAAATGCGCTAGTTTATTTTTGTTTGTAAAGTCTCTCTATTTGACTAGTGACATTTAAAGCAAAAGGAAAACTCAATTATATTTTGTCTATTACGAGCGAAGAGACTTGTATTTGTTAAGTCCAACTTGATACTAAAAATCTTCGTACTAAATCTGATCTAGTTTAAAGATCAATCGTATATTAAATGAACCATTTAACTGCTAATATCAATTGATTCAATCATGCATGATGTGGATTTGTTATTCATGTTAACAGTCAAGTGATCACAATAAATTCTAAATATAGCATGATTATTTTATCAAAATAGTATTGTTTACTAAGATTGCAATCAGCATTTTTCATCGTATGATAAAAAAAACTACTTAAAATATTTACAATTATGATTTTCCCGTTGAAAATAATTGATTACTATACAATAAGAGATACTTATCTTATCGTTCACTCCTTAATTTTATAGAATAGAATAGAGTACTCTCTTCGAATACAATGATGCAGACTAAATGTTGAATTTCTAGAAAAAATTGACAGGAACAAACCGCAGGCCTTTAATTTATTCTATCACGTAATAAAAAAGAACAGTAAATCATCTGAAAACATTTTTATTCGGACGTCATTTTTAATTATTATAGTATTTACTGTCAACTAACAGACGTCAGACAGGAAAAAAATTCATTTTTCATATAACATTGTATTATTTAAAAAAAAACTGGCACGCAATATTGGAGAAAACATTATAGTCTAGACTTTTTAGCAGGCGTTTAAATTTTTATATTAAAAATTTTTTTCTATTAAGTCATTATTGAGCTTATCTGCCAGATATTTATATAAATATTTCGATTTAATTTATCATAAGTATACAATAGCATGTATAATTTAATTAAATCTTAATGTATGTCATCTCATGCAAAATAAGACCATTCTTACATATTTAGAGAGGAAATACAAGGTTTTTTTATTCTTATTATCATAATGATAGAATAAAACAATTCATCTGAAAGGTGTTAGAACTAATGAATTCAAGGGATTTCTCATAATGTTTTATCATCTTGCTACAGGCAAAGTTTTTTTTAATCAAAGAATAAATAATGTAATAGTTGTTTACCTCTTTCTATTCTTTCATATTTTCTAAGATGTAAATATACCTTCTATCGATTATTATATATAAATTCATTAAAATAGTAGAAAAATAATAAGAATTCATAGAATTTTTTTCTTTTCCTTTTTTATCTCAATATATATTTAAAAACAAAAAGATTAGCTTAGAAAGAAGCTTTTTCATAATCTCAATTCTTATTAAATTAATCTTCTTCGGAGAATAACGGTCACACGAGATCATATTTGTTCGCACGCAAAAATAATTCTCTTAAATATTTATCTCTATATAAAGAATCATTAATAATATACAAAAATCATCTTCATCACCATCAATATTAATGATTGAAAATATACAT